AGCTGCAAGTTGTGCTGTTTCTCCTTAATTGAAGCTGAGCCGTTAGTGCGAGTTGAGTGTGTCCTACTCCCAGAATGGGGTTACTCTTCAGTGCATTTGCCTTTTATCCTTGTACATTTTCCTAACCCCATCACACAGGGCAAGGCAGAGGAATATGTAACCCTCCTGAGGTTGTTACTATAGCTCCCACTATCTCTGATGGTTAGCTCCATCTGGCTGCAGGGGCGCCGACTTATAAAAAATATTGGGGGGGCCCATACCGGGGTCCTGCCCCGGGAAGTTTTCTAAGTTCCAATGTCAGCGGCGCCCGGCAGAGCAGCCCTCTCGGCCACGGCAGCCCGGCTCTCCCAGCCCCCGGGGGCCGCCCTCCTCCCTCGCGCACCCGCAGCGTTCCCGCCCGGGGAGGCGGCGCCCCCAGGAGAGGCGGCGGCAGCAGCAGCAGCCGCGCGCGGCCCGGGCTCCCCTCGCCGGGCGCGGGAGCCAAGGCGCGCGACGAGGGCAGCCGAGGAAAGGAGCGCGCGGCCCCGTCCCGCCCTCGCCACTCACCCTTATGCAGCGGCCCCGCGGCCGCGGCGGCGACTCCCGCAGCGCCTTTTCCGCAAGGCCCGGGTGACATCAGCGGCGGAGGACGTTTCCTCTGCACGTGCCCAATAATTTTCTTAAATTATTGGGGGGCAGAGCCCCCCCAATAAAAATTTTGAGGGGGCTCGGTCCCCCTCAGGCCCCATGGAGTCGGCGCCTATGTCTGGCTGGGGCTGCGGGGAGTTGAAGTCCAACAAGATCTGGAAGGTCACAGTTTCTCCATCTTTGATGTAGTGAATCAGTATATGACTTCAGGTAAGAGTTTAACTTTGTTTACTGGATTTCAATAGCCCAGGCATACTGAATGCAGAGTCTTGTGCAGCAAACTGTTTAACCAGAGCAGGAGGGAGAAGAAGGGTACATGGTAACGTGAATATTTAACTTTCCATTATGTTCTCTGTTTAGCAGATAACATTGTCCTAGAATATGTTAACTCATAAGAGTATGATGTAATAGTGCAGCTCATAACAACAAGGCTCAATGAAATATGAGATTCAGGGTTAAGTTCAGGTTCTCTACGCCAATTTTGTCTGATGTTACTTGTAATGTTTCCAAACATACCAAGGTCTAGGGACTGAACACATTTCCTCGCTCTGATTAAGAAGCTACTCCAAATACATCAAAGACAGCATTTTATTTTATTTTATGCCATGGCTGATTTAGCACTAAATCTGAATCGAAGCATAAATATGCCACTAAGATGCCGGGGATGGCAGAGGGAGGAAATGCAGTTTCTGTTCTGAACTGAACCACTCAAACAGATTCTGCCCTAGCCCAGTCCGCCAGTAAGAGCAGAAGCAATCAACACACTCCCCATATAATTTCCACTAGGCATGCTAAGGGGAGCTAGGAGACGACTATTTGGCAAATGCGCTGTCCCAATGGGTTCAGTGAGAGAATGGCCACACTGCCTTTCCTGTAAAGTAGTGACTGAACCCAGAGGTAGGATTTCACTAGGCCCAGCAGAGTGAGATGATGGGTGATGGGGGCAATGAATGGTGGTGGTGAGTTGAAATACAGAGCTGTGTGAACCTGTCTGACCTGCCCTGGATCACCAAAACTAGCCTAGTGTCCTCAAGTGTAGTGGAGGATGCTGTTCCCTCAGCTGTGTTGAAGTAAGATTCAGTTACCAGTCTGGTTTGGTCTGGTACATGGGATGTGAGAGGGCGCCATCTTGTCTCTCACCTCAGGAGGCAAGATGTCTTAGGCCAGCTCTAAAGGTAAAGGGTAAAGGGACCCCTGACCATTAGGTCCAGTCATGGACGACTCTGGGGTTGCGGCGCTCATCTCGCTTTATTGGCCGAGGGAGCCGGCATACAGTTTTCGAGTCATGTGGCCACCATGACTAAGCCGCTTCTGGCGAGCCAGAGCAGTGCACAGAAATGCTGTTTACCTTCCCACTGGAGCGGTACCTATTTATCTACTTGCACTTTGACATGCTTTCAAACTGCTAGGTTGGCAGGAGCAGGGACCGAGCAATGGGAGCTCACCCCGTCGCGGGGATTCGAACCACCGACCTTCTGATCGGCAAGGTCGGCAAGCCCTAGGGTCTGCGGTTTAACCCACAGCGCCACCAGCTCTACTCCCAAGCAATCACCACTCACAACATAACCCTCCCTCTGCCTGCAAGAAGGACCTAAATTAAGGCCCATTCAGTATCTGCAGCTTTTGAGTGCCATGGAGCTCTGGAAAGTGCCTATTCTGCAAAGTGCCTCTCTGGGGGATATGATAAATTGCAGTGGATTTGCTGCTGGGAGTGTTTTAACATTGCGCCGCTTGTGAGAAATGTAGCCAGGATCCAACGCACTGTGAAACTAGCTGTGTGAGCATAAGGTAGGCTGCAACGGCAAATTGCTTTGGAAGCCCACAGGAATTTCAAAAGCACTTTGCAGCAACACTGTTTGTGGCATGTGTGTGTCAATTGCTGAAAGACACAAAATTCCACTGGGCTACTGTGAACATCTCTTCGGGTTCCAGGCATAGCATGCTGCACTCCAAAATAAGCTGAGAAAGGTAAATGGTTTTTAAATGAGGATAAATAAACAAGAGATTATTAGTGCAGAGACAAAAATCCAGCAACAGCTAGTTGCTCTATTCTACTCATAATACTAATGGCTCTCTCTGGGATGCTTACACAATAATTCATAACAGCAATGATAAATAAAAGCCCTGGCATGCTATAACTGTCCTGTGATAGCCTATTGTAGCCTAAACAAATACCTAACGAAACTAATGAAATCTATAAAACTTCAGTGTGGTTTGAGGCTGAAATCAAATGCACACCAGACTGGGAGTAAGCCCCCATGAAATTAGTGGTTCTTGCATCAGAATAAACCCGGATGGGACTCGGCCTCACATTTGACTGGTTTGTAGCCTAAATGTTCTTTGAAATTTGAAATACAGACATGTATGGATGGAACCAGCGGTTTTTCCCTGACTGTGGCTATCAGAATTAATGACTTTGTTTGCAGAATGAAGAGCAAATATTTGTGAGTTGATCAAAATGTCACAAAGAACAAATCAGCAATGCAAATTGGTCTACATTTTATGTACAGTATTGAGAACACAATGAAATGATAACTGGACTGATGTTAGTACAAGGACATACTGTATGATATTTGCACTGTGTAAATGCATTGTTCAAAATATTGCACAAGGCACAATTTAGTTTGAGATTTTTCAAGACACTGGAGAAAAGTTAAGTATTTTAATCTCATAGGCATTTATTCTTGGCAAATTTATAATAATATATAAAGTTCATCATCATTATTGGTACAAAGTCTGTCCGTTACTTATACTAAATTCCTTGGTCACTGCATGGATAATAACAAGAACAAGAACGAATGCCTGACCTGGACCCTTGGTGATTATTGAATTGACAGGCACAATCATTATATAGAAATTTTAACAGCTGTAAGAAAACAGTGTCTTTCAATTTGCTTCAATAAATTTATGTCAACACAGATCCCACTACCCAACTCTGTAACTATATATACTGAACACCAGAAAGCCTTCTAATATAATATAGTTATCTACAAGACTGTACAATACATTGTTACCCTGCATTCCAAAGCTCTGCAAGAGCCCAACCGAGCTCTGAGTTTTGTGTGAGGTGGTGATGGCCCAATCACTTCAGTGTTGGGGGGGGTGATGCTACAGGTGCACATGCCAACCTGCTGCGTAAGACATTTTGCGCTGAGGAGGCCTAAAGAGATGTCAGTTATATGGAAATCAATGCAGGACAGTTGGAATCTAACTAAAGTAGCCTAATATGTTTAAAGTTATGTAACAGCATTACCTTTTATTATGAGGATGTGACTTCAAAAAAGGGTTATATAAGGATATAACTGGGGGGGGGACCCTCCTTGTCAGTTAGCCCAGTAAAGGGCTCTCATTGACAAACAAACTGCGAGGAAAATATCAGTTTATTTCTTAAGGAGCTACTGGAATAAAATACTAGATGTATGTGTTTGTTTGTTTTTTTCTTTACATGGCCACAAATAAAAGGTCTAATTAGTTGGTGGTGGTGAGGTTTTATGGTGACTGCTCTGCCATATCCACAGCCCCACCAGCTTATTTCATGGTGGTTGCTCTGCCATGTAAAAACCCTGCCAGGGTCAGCTTTCCACCACCATTTGGTTTGGTTTGGTTGTTCATTCCCTTCAACTGATATCAGTGAGGGGGGTGGGAATCACTATGCCAGCTTCAGGGCTGATATAGTTCTTTGCCCTTTTCAGGGGCATGTCAGCAAAATGAGGGGACCTTGGATCTTGTGTCTCTAAGCCAGGCATCCCCAAACTCGGCCCTCCAGCTGTTTTGGGCCTAGCTAACAGGACCAGTGGTCAGGGATGATGGGAATTGTTTTGTAGTCCCAAAACAGCTGTAGGGCCGCCGAGTTTGGGGATGCCTGCTCTAAGCCCCCCCCCCCCAAATATTATCCACATTCTACCTGCCCTCTTTCATGCTTAACACCAGTGGGTATCTGTGCCCACAGATCTTAGCATCTTCTCGGGTAAGGTACATCACCACAGAAAAGCACTTGCACCACTTCAAATGGTCCCTCAGCAGGCCTTTGGCCAGCTTTAGGATTGCTTTGTTCGTATTTTAAAAGCAGAGGATCAACAGCAGTTGTATAGGGAGGGTGGGAAAGCCATCGAAAGCCAAAAGAAAAAAGAGTAGATATGATTCCCAACGTGTGACAAGGAAACCCCTTCATCAAGGTGTCGTTGGTTTTAAAAAAAGAAATGCTTCTGAAGAATGACAGGTTGATGGGGATGGTTTTCCAGAGCAGCACACCTAAGTATTCCATTTCCTCTTTTTATTTTATGGGGTGCTGGCTACCTTGTGGCTACAGCCCTGAACATTTCCCCAGTTTTATGTGAATGAGACAATCCTGGCTGCATACTACAGCTGCATACTACAGCTGCCAGACAACGAAGAGCCTCAAATAATCAAGTTAGTTTTCAGTCAGAAATCACAGTGGATGCAGTCGCTGCCACTACCTTTCAAGAGGGTTAAACCATGAAAATCTGGTCACAGACTATAAGCATAATTATGCTACCGAATTAGGCTAATGACTATGAATGGTATCAAGTCACTGGGACATATTTTATGTAATAACCTGAGATGCTTAGAAACAATAACAGTGGCTAATACTGCCTATTAGGTCGTGAGTCAGCCTGCATACTGAGTTAATCAAATGTGGCGCCTCAGAATTAGGACTTAAGTCCTAATTTACCATCTCAGTGTGCTTTGGTCCTGTGTACATTTGTGTAAATTGAGCTGCCTTTGGGATACAACTAGATATGGCATTAGGAGACCTGGGACCAGAACTCCTGCTCTGTTTTTTTGTTTTAAAGAAAAGGACTTTAATGGTAGCTGTGGGGTCAGGAGACTCTAATCAGGGCTGTGGGACTGGGCTCAGGAGTGATAAACCTTGCTCCCTGCCTCATTTTCCCAGTTAAACACCCACACAGACATTTAAGCTGCTAGTTACCCAGTGGGACAAAATATACGGGTACAGGTAGTTTCTATACAAAACTCAGTCAAATATATTTGTGGATACTGCTGTCAAAGTTACTGTGTGTATGCGCTGCACAATTTTAAGACCCAGTGATTTACAAGAGAAGGTGTTAAGCATGTAACCAAATATCACCAGTATAGATATTAATATAATAGTTAGGATTACACATCACACCCCATGGATGCTAATGGGTGTGATGTGTAATCCTAACAATCCTTACCTAGAGGTGCCGCTTAGCCAGGGTGATTTACTCCCTTGCATGTGTGCTTAACACTGGGGCCTTAAAGTGCTAATCCTAGGTTGGACAGGGTCCACAACTGACTATTTAGTTCCGTCAATCCTGTTAATTTTTCATTTTGAATTACACACACCTTTAAATAACTCAGATGCAGTTAGCAATTCGTGTAACTTTAAGTATAATCTGCAGGTTTTGGAGTAATACTTCAATGGCAGTCTGTTGCTTCTGACACAGGAAGGTATTTTCTAAAACTAAGGCTGAAATCCTTGCTTCTGAGTTAACACATGGTTAGGATTCTGCTGCAAAACAGCTGCTCAAAGCAGAATGGCCTGATTCTGTTTAGAAGTGGGTTTATGCTAAAGGCTTGAGTCTTATGTGGGGGAGGGGTCCATGGTAATCTACCCCATTTACTACCATTCCTCTGAAAACATTTATTTCCCCCATTCCTATAGTAATGATATTTGGGCAGAGGGGGTTTCATTTTTTTCTAATTGCTTAGTGTGGGGAACAGATACATAGGAATATAGATAGCTATCAAGCTGAGACAGCTGGCCCATCTGTCTAAGTATTTTCAATACTAACTGGCAGAGGATTTCCAAGATTTCAGGCAGAAGTATTCCTACTTGGAAATGGCACAGATTGATACCTGGGACCTTCTACAATGCAAAATATATTTTCTACCACTGAGCTACAGTCTTTCCAGGTATACCTGCAAGTATTCTTTGGGCAGGGAGGATAAAATCTGGGAAAAGAAGGGGTAACACCTTACCTCCCCCCAGGAAATAGTATGCATTCCCAATTAAAATATACTCTTTTAAATAAATACAGTTAACAAATCTAAAGACAGAAATGTATCAATGCACAAAGAAAAAGAGCCAAAAACTTTCTTTTGATGAGAGCTTCAAGCAGAAATAGACCCAACTTTCATTATATATTAGGGATTAGATAGATTTGCTCTGGTTTTTACAAGCAGCAAAAAGGGAGTAGGGACCAGCAGCAGTTGAACCACAGATATGAAAGTGACAGTTTAAAGTTCCTCAGTAAGGGAGAGGGGAAGATATTGACTTCTTTAAAGCATTGTGCTTGATCCCTGAAACTATATAATCTGTAGCGGGAGCTTTGGGAGCTATAGTCTTTCATCGTCACTGTCACTAATTTTCTTAAATGCAATGGGGCTCGCTTGCTTCAAAGAGGTCTTTGAAATGTCTGTATGCATGGTGGACATGGCTATCGTCTCGTAGTCGTCATCCCTAGGGTGGAAATCGCAGAAGCGGAAGAAAACCTGCAAATCCCTCTGGAAGTTCTTGTTGAGGAACCCATAAAAAATGGGGTTCACGCAGGTAGAGATCATAGCCGTGAGGTGACAGATCAGGAACAGCAAATTGTGGCTGCAAGAAGCAACAGGTAGAATTTCATGGTTCCAGTCAAAGACTGTGTTAAAAACGGTCAGAGGGAGCCAGCACACCGCGAAGGCCACCACAATCGAGATGAGCATGATGTTGATCCTTTTCGTTTCAGTGGATCGGTATTTATTGTCTCTCATCTTATCCATCATGTTGCTCCTCCTTTTTAAGCGCATGTATATCTGCGGGAAAACAAAAATTCAAGAACAACTCTGTAACCTAAAACTGTGGATCCTACAGGCATTTCTTTGGAGGAAACAAAGAACGGGTAAGACACAACACGAAAACAAGATTCTCTCTTACCTTTAAGTAGCAAATAAATATAAAGCAAAGGGGTCCCAAGTACTGTATCACCAAGAGAGCTGTGGTATACGAGAGTCTGATTGTCTCCAGTGGAAAGGAATCCAAGCACACGTACTTCCCTTTGTATTCCTCTATCGTTAGATTGGTGAAAGGTTCGTCGGTCAGTATGTGATACACCAGAAAAGGCAAAGATGAAGCCACCGCTATAGTCCAGATTGCTGCAATCCCTATGTAGGCATGTCTGTTGTTTGGCCTCCAGCCACGAGGGTTGATAATCAGCTGGTGGCGCTCAATAGCAATGAGGACCAAAGAGAAAACCGAGACTGTGATGGAGACACACTGCACAAAAGGGTTCAGCTTGCACATGGCCTCGCCAAAGACCCAGTGGTCCATTAAGGTGTAGACAAAGGTGAAGGGAAGACACATGATGGTGATGAGGAGGTCCGAAAAGGAAAGGTTGACAATGAGGATGTTGGTCACATTGCGCATCTCCTTTTGTTTTAAGATGATGATGATCAAGGCCAGGTTCCCAGAGATGCCCAGAAGGATGACAGCCCCGTAAGCCAGAGCCAAGGTGAACACCATCGCCAAAGGCACACGACAGTCTTCATCCTCAAAGTGCACGAGTCCAGAAGCCTCCTTGGAGACATTCTGAATGGAATAGTTTCCTGCCGAGGAAAGAAGTGATGAATTCATGTTGGGTTTCCCCACACGCACACAACAATCTGGGCCCACGCTGAGCAGTGGTCTGAAACGGCAATCGGTTTCTCAGAAGCACATTCAAGGCGTTAATGTTGTTCTCCTTACACAAAGAACAGGCTCCCAGCAGAAGCTGCCACAGAAATGTTCATGCCATCAATAATGCACAACCTGCAAAGGCAAAAAGAATGTACACGGATTTATTTTTCTTGGGTTTTCAGAAATGGAGGGAGGTGTTTTGTACTTTATTGGAAAACCAGGGACCTTCTTAATCACAGCTGGAATATTTATTCCCCCTCACTGCCAGGAATAGGCTATTGTTTTCTATTATGGAGTGGCTGTTTAAACCTGAATTTTCACTGCTGAGCTAATATTCAGAAGAGACTGTAGGGTTATCAGTTGCATGTCAAGGCCCCAAGCCAGCTCCCCATAAGAAATAAATTCACACTAACACAGAATTTTGGTTTAAATTTAATGGGCAAAATTTAGGCCACAACTTTATTGATTACGGTAAAGGCATTGGCTTAGGCATTGGCAATAGACTACATCTGACTCCTGCCCAACTTGCTGGGAGTCATGAAAGGGTAAACCACCGAAAGAGGTAGCCACATTGGGGGAACCCGCCTGTAGCTCTCCTCCATGTTCCCAGAGGCCTGGCATGGCCCTAGCCCCTCAAGTGGACTCGGACAAGATCCAGGCCCCGGATTCCTTTAACGGAATACCCTTGGACATGGAGGGGCAGGCGATGGCTGACCTGCCCTCCCCCCCCCACATCAATAAGCCAATGCCTAACCGCCAAACCTTACAAAGTTGTGACGATTGCTAAGAGGTAGGCGAAAACCAAGTGGCCAATGCCAGTCTGCCAAATGGAAAAATTCCTACCTGGCCCCCGTCCCAAGACAGGTGACCAACCAAAGTCCAAAGCAAGACCAGAGCACACCTAAAATAAAAGGGCAGGTGGACAGGTGTTTGGCAGCACAAAGCAGGTGCGCAACACACGATGCGCTGCCGCTCATATACCCCCCCCAATCACCTCTCTCAAAGTGATTGGCCAAGGAGGCCTGGGATGATTGTGGTGCCACCCTGGCGTGGAAGACCTCACTCCACCTACACTGGGGGGTGGGGTGGAGCTGTATTGAGGGCCTGCCCACAACCAGGATCATTTTTTAAGATGATCCAACTTCTCATTCCCTACAGCAGGTGTGGCTAACCTATGGTGCCTCCAGATTGCATTGGAGTACAACTCTTATCATCCCTCACTATTGGCCATGCTGATGGGCACTAGAATCCTACAACAACTGAACACCCACATGCAAAGCTCCCCTGCCCTGCACAGAGACAATATTAATTAGACCTACATCTTCATACCCAGAGAAAGGATTCACATCTTCCTCTTTGCATAAAGCTTAATTGCAATGCATTGCACCCAAAGACAACAAGCAATATCAGGTTAACTCACAGGCATCTGGCTGAAAGTCATTCCTGGGGTGCGTGTTCCCAAGGACTTTGAGACAATAACCACGGGAGATCTACACATGCTGCTAGTTTTAGTGCCCAATGTTAAGCATGTTTACCCAGAAGCAGTGCTGGATTAACACACAAGCTAAGTAAGCTGCAGTTTAGCACCCCCTAGAAACTAAATTTCAACTCTTACATAAATTATTTCAAAATCAAAGGGAGCAGGGTGAAGAAAATCTGAAACCAGACATTACTGTTCTGTTGTGTGTATACTTTATAACTATGCAATTATTGGTCATATCACATACAGAAATAACCACAATTAATATCAAAATTTCATTCGGCCAGGTGTCCATAAGCCGTCAAAGAGCACTGGTGGCAGACCATACCAGGCTTGACTGGAGGAATTATTTGACCTAATCAGAAATTAGTCTCATGTCAATTTCAAAGGTTCTTTTTAAAAAATCATACAAGTGATTTAATTTTGATGCCATGTGTAGAACACACCTAGTGCATATTGTGTTGTTTCTTCCAGTGAATAAGTGTTATAAAGTGCTCTTGCGTTGCTGGAACACAAAGTCTTCAAATATGCTAACTAAGAAATCATAAGGCAGCTTCACTTAAAGTTATTCCACATGCAAAAAGGCTTATTGCAAAAATATTTGTTTTAGTTAGATGGTTTCATTTTTGGCTGCCTCCTTGCCTATGTGGTGGAATGCCTGCAAATATAAAAGCGTGTTGTTTCTATTTTCATTGTCCTTTCTGTTGAAATAATAAACATTTTTGAGTAATGCTCTGGGGCCTCTTAAACTTGACACAACCCTGCTCAGAAGTAAATACTACTGAGTTCAAATGCAATTTTCTGCCAAGTAAGTGTGTCTAAGGTTACAACAGCGCAGCCTAATATAAGAGAGCCTCAACAGGAAATCTATCATTGTGCCAGCATAAACCCGCAGATGAGTTACGATTAAGAATGATGCCATGGTACGTTCATCTGCATTATTTTCTGACACTCAGTTCAAGGGTTTAGCTGCCATAATTTGGAATTCAGACTGCACGGTCACATATAGGAACTTTTCTATAGACCCAGAGCATATGAGATTCCAGCAGCAAGCACACTTTAATGATCAAACCGAGTACTTCTTGAGTACTAACAAAACAACACATAACACATTCTTGGCCAGTTCAAAGCACTTATTCATTCGGAAAGGTCACGGAGCAGAAAAACACCAAGCAATCATCAATCTCATTCACATTAGGAATAATATTGCAGGTCTCTGTGAGAAGCCCAGTCCTCAAAGAAATCAAATGGAGGGGGTCAGCCCACTGAAAAATTTCCAGCCACCAGTCAGGCTGAGAGCTCATGGAAGTTCTCTCAAAGGTGAATACTCCTTGCCCTTCAATATCATCCTAATGCAGGATTAGCCAATGTGGTGCACTGCAGAGGTTGTCACAGACTACAACTCCCATGACCTCTGACCATTCACCATCCCGGCTGGGGCTGATGGAAGTTGTAGTCCAACATCAGGTCACCACATTGACTACCTTTGTCCTAATGTCACCAGAATTCAAAGGCCATGATCAAGATGTATTCCTTGGTTCTTCAGTCACATTGCAAAAGCATGAAGTTTGACATGCGCTGCAGAGTTAAAATGACAAGCACCTAGAATTCTGCGTACAGATATAGGTTCAGATGATTGAAGTTAATTGCTAAGTATTTCATTCCAATAGATGTTGCTACAGGTTTGTTTTGTTTTTAAATTTGTTCCTGTTCTTTATATTGTAACGCACATACAAAACTGAAAACATTTTACATTGACTCTAAGGAGAGGGGTTAAAATGACTTGTGACTGACCCAGCTGAACACAGGGCAGCAGATATATATGATGGTCCACTAGATAGATAGATAGATAGATAGATAGATAGATAGATAGATAGATAGATGATAGATAGATGATAGATGGATGATAGAGATGATAGATGATAGATAGATAGATAGATAGATAGATGATAGATAGATAGATAGATAGATAGATAGATAGATAGATAGATAGATAATAGATAGATGATAGATAGATATTGATATGGAAGGGGGGGCATGTCTTCTTCACCTTCTTCTTCGCTACAATATATCCATTTATTTCCAACTGTCAATGTCAAAAGGGACTAAAATCTATAAAATTCATAGAAAATCAACGTGCCAATTTGCTCAATTTCTCTAGGACTCCATGACACCTCCCCTGTCCTCCATAATCCCTCAAGCAAGGTGTCAAGACCCTAATCCTGTCAAATCACTCTGCCAAGCCTTTCCTCCGGGCAATGCCAGGTGGCAGACTATCCATACATGGACCATTGTCTTCTCATCACCGGTACTCAGGATGTGCTTATGTGCGCATATCTCCAGCTCTGCATATTCCGCCCTCGCTCCTCCATATGTTAATCCTGTGTAACCCAACCTCTTCTTAATGTATTCATGATGTAATCTGTGTAACCCAACCTCTTCTTAATGTATTCATGATGTAACTGGGATGTATTTTGCACTGTATTCTGGGACATGGAGGGAAGTTTCAAAAGTTCATGTCACCCCTTTCTCGCTGTTCAATCTCGCCTTGAACCTGTTGTGCAATAAACTTGGATCTTCTGCAGTTTGCTCCTGTCTCCGGCTGAGCTCATTTTCCTCCGCAGGGACCCGCGGACTTAGTCCGACGAGCTGGGTGGCAGAGCAGCCTCGCACCCAGATTTTACCATAACAGATATAGACAGATATAATGGAACTAGACTTTCAGTTCAAGGATCTAATTAGCTGTGATAAGCATCTGAGTGGCTGTCACAGGCACACACCCGCCCCCCCCCCCCCAGATCTCCTTGGAGCTTGCTGCCACCTTGTCAGGCCCCTATGCATTCTCCATCCACCTCACGAACCACCACAACACAAATCCTGTGCTTTGGATTCTCTCCCACCCCCACGCCCACCCCAAACCAGCCTCCGTAAGCCACACAGAATCTGGACTGGGATCATAGCCTGAGGGGGAGGGGAGAGTTAACCCTTTCTTTCTGAACCATTTTCCTACCAAGCCCCCACCCCCACTACCTTTTAAAAAAACAACAACAACCCATACAGTGGTACCTCGGGTTAAGTACTTAATTCGTTCCGGAGGTCCATTCTTAACCTGAAACTGTTCTTAACCTGAAGCACCACTTTAGCTAATGGGGCCTCCTGCTGCTGCCGCGCGATTTCTGTTCTCATCCTGAAGCAAAGTTCTTAACCTGAAGCACTATATCTGGGTTAGTGGAGTCTGTAACCTGAAGCGTATGTAACCTGAAGCGTATGTAACCCAAGGTACCACTGTACTGTGTTTCTGAGCTGGATCACGCCCCACACACATTTAAAGTGGAGAATTCCAAGCACGGCTTCAGAGAGAGAGATATTTAACTTGTCATTGGGTTTGGCACTGATCTAGTCAGTGGTGACTGGTGCCCATTGGGACAGAAGGCAAGGAGACCAATAGGC